TTTTTTGGGATTTGTTGACGCCATGAAATTTGGAAACAACAGATTTTTCCCTTAAAATGATACATTCTCTCAGTTTAAACTTTTGATCTGTGATTTGTGTTCTATTCTGAATAAAATATTAGATGTTGGCACCTCCACATCATTGCATTCAGTTTTTATTCACAATTTGTTTAGTGTCCCAACTCTTTTGGAATCCGGTTTGTATAAAAATAACAAGTTAACACTATTTATCTGAGGACAGAATTAGTGCACAGCCCATCACTGCGCCAGGTCCCCTGCACGAACCCTACCCCCACCCAGGCCTCCAGCTATGCCCTCCCTCCACCGAGGGCTTTGAGTAGGGAGAGCATTATGGGGGCGATGGGCCCAGGGTTCCTGTCAGAGTCTGGGTTTAGGCTTGGCAGTCGGGGCTAGGTGCAGGGTCAAAGGGTGGGGTTATGGTCAGGGAATGGTTTAAAGACAGTCCGAGGGCTAAGTTTAGAGAGAGGGATCCCGGGTTAAGTTTGGGTTCAGTGGTCAGGTATAGAGTTCAGTTTGGGGTCAGAGGTCAGAAGGTTAGGTTTAGGAAAAGGGGTCTCAGGTTAGGTTAAGGGTTAAGGGTCAAGGGTCGTAGCCTGGATATAAATAACTCCTGCTTTTTAAGATACATGTCATTTTTAATGCTCACCACCACCATTCAGTGTCTCTGTGTGTACATGAATGAATGTGTTTAACTTTGTCTGTTAGAGAAAATTTTCAATTTTCAAAAATTGGAGAAATTTTAATGAAACCCTCTGAATCAAGATGGCTGGCCTGGCTAATCAATTGATCAATTTGTTGATCAATTTGACAGATACGGAGCTAAAGTCTGGTGGTAATAGTATGTTTTGAGGAGCTGAGACATCTCCAAAACATACTCAAAGAGTGGTACACATTGTGCAGGACCTTTGCTTAAAATGTTGTAATTTACATTTAGAGTCAACCATGTTTGCCTGTTAGCAAAATAACTCATGAACCAGTGCATGAATTTAAATGAAACTTTCAGAAAATAATCATTGTGTATACATTTACAAGTATTTAACTTTCAGAGACAATCTGATTCAAGGTGGCCACAACAGCTAAAGGACAAGCAAAAATTGAGTTGAAAATTAACTTGGTAGTAGCTGAGAGTCATTCACAACACATATTCTGAGCAGTAAGAAATCATGCACCATTTCACAATATTGTGTGAGATTGTGCATAACGTTATTTTCAAAATTTCATCAAAAACAGCTCTAGAGATTTGTCATTTCTCAACATAAGATGAACTTCCTGATGCATGCTCATTAATCCAGGTAGAAAAATCTAAAAAAGTTAAGTCAGGTCCTCTGGACGGGTTCAAAAAACAAACACACCTTCTACCTTTTTTTGTTTTTTTAACCAGTCCAGAGGACCTGACTTAACTTTTTTAGATAAGATGAACTTTGTTTAAAACTCTGGTATAAAAGCAGCCGGTGATATGCATCCCCTCAGGGGAGGTTAATGAGAATTTATAAAATACATTTAAAAATGCTAATTAGATGCAGTGCTGTTAACCATCTCAGGCTGCAGGAAGAATTTTAAAAATCTTTATCTGCAGTATTTTCCTTCTCATCGTCTTCGACTGTTAAAAGAATGTGACTCACCCAGTGTGGTGAGCCAGCGAGCGATAGCCGCATAGATTTCATCTAGGATGATGATGACGATGAGGTTGATGATGGCGGCCGTGGTTTTTACAGTGGCTCGAATGTTGGATCGTGCTACAGGGTAGTCACTTATGTGCAGCGCTGCCTTAATGCTGATCCGGTACAGGATAACCCCAAAGACGATGGCAAAGGTCACAGAGATCTAAAGGAAAGTGGGCAAAACATTCAGCGCGACAATCTGCTGAACATCTGATGATGAAAACTTATGCAAACACCGTCACACAGCTCTTATCAGTCAGAGTGCAGAGTTACCTACATGTATATCACTACAGCCTGTTCATTGTGTGAATGTTTATGAAGCATTCACTCTATTGTGATCCATTTTTCTTCCGTATGTTTTTTAGTGCGTTTCTCTCCCCACAGTTTTTAAGCAATTTCAACAAATTATCAAAACGTTCAGCTCTTTCAGGACAATCCTGCTATGACTTTTGGCATTGGTGCAACTTTAGCTTATTGAAATATTTAGCCTTTTCTGCCACTTCTTTTCCTCATAGAAAATAAATTGAGCTCATTTTACATCCTTCATATCTTTAGATCTGTTTACAGCCTTTTACTGCTCCTTTCACATTTTGTTCTGCTTCAGCTTTTCAGCTTCCTTGTGCAAACTTAAACTTTTTTCCAGCTGTTTTGTTTTGTGCTCCTTTCAGATTCTTCCTGCTAACTACAACATTTTTGTGTTTCTTCTAACTTCTTTCTGCTAATTTCAGCTTGTTATGCTCCTTGCAGCTTATTTCTGTAAGTTTCAGCTTTTTCTACTATTTCAGCTACTACGTAGCTGATTTTATGCGAATTAAGCTTTTTCAGCTAATTCCATATTTGAAGCACTCATTTCAACTTTTTTCTGCCTAATTCAGAAAAAATGTGCTCTCTCCACATCCTTGTAATTTCAACTTCTTTCTGCCCTTTTAGCTACTTTTCAGCTGTTTTTTGCTAATTTCAGCTTTCTTTTTTCCAGGTAATTTCTACTTTTTTGTGCTCATTTCTGCTTCTTTCAGCCTAACTGGGCAAACGTGTTCTGTTTTTTTGTGTTAATCTAAGCGTGTTCTACCTTTACTGCATTTTCACAGGAAATACAGTTTCTCTAGTTATACGTGTTTCCTAGGATGTCTGCTTTTTTACCATAGCTGAATTTACATCATGTATGTTCTCATAAAATATTATACTTAAGTCTCATTTTTATGTTTTCTCATTCATCGTGTGTAAAAGTCTTATTTTCACCTCATGTTAAAGCAATAAACTGTTTAAATGATTCGTTTTGAGTAGAACAATTTGAATTTGTCTGAATGTGGGAGTGTGTGTGGGGGGTCTCACCATGAAGATCATCATGGTCACGGTGGTCAGGTAAGCTGGCAGTCTGTCTGTACAGGTCAGCTTCACCTTCTCCTCCTAAAATACACACAAACAAGTGCACGCGCACACACGCCCCCACACACACACACATCAAGGGATCAAACAGTGAGCATTTTGTAAATATCTCCAGCTGCGTGTTTAAGACGTGTGTTTTTCAGCGTAAAGCCTCATGTCTTTCTGTTAGCAGTTCCCAAACCTCCGGACACAGTCGCACACTTCACACAACATCGATGTGTGCACATTGGAGCTCCACTGGAGCAGAGCTAATGCCACCCCGAGCTACCATGTCACATTCAGGTCTGTGAAGAACGAGGTCAGGAAGCTCAGGCGTGTCTATGGGTGTTTTGATGAAAGGGAAGATGTGACCTTGGTGCAGTGAAAGACAACAGAGGGCTGATATTCAGTGTTAACAGGCTCAGACATCGTGTTGAATGTGGTCTGTTAACGCTCTCAGGACGTTTTGCTTCACATTATGATCTTAGAGTCTCATTAACACATTCTCCCCCCCATCAAGATTAGGCTACCAGTAAATGTGATTACAGCTCTAATCAGAGCTGGTGTTTCCTGGCTGCTTCTCTCATTGTTGTTGATGATGTGCTTTAATTGAATTTAGGAGAGTTTCTGGGGCAGAGGGAAGGTAATAACCTGGAGCTGCCTCTGACAAATCTTTCTGAATGTGTTGCAGGATCGACATGCAGGAATGACGACTTTCGTGGACTCGCTCTTTTGCGTTTTTTTTTCAAAGTAAGATTGTACACGAGAAAAAATAATAATTGTACAGGACACATGATTGATAAATTTAATATTACGCACAAGATTGGGACAGCGCAGGATACTGTGCAGTAAAAAGTTAATCAAAAAATAAAATACTTAAAGCAGGCGCTGCCATTTTGTAGTTTTCTCATTGAATCCTCACGCAGAACAACTACATTTCACAGAAGTCAACAGGGCCCCGCCCAGAAGCCCTGTTGTGTTCTGATGAAATAGAGAAAGTTTTGATCTGATCCAAAAAAGTTTGGTGCTTATTCATTCAGTGACTTTGGTGCCCATTGGATGCAGAGAGCTGCACGGAACCCACCGGGAACTGGACCAGAACCAGAGAAGAACCAGAGCAGAACTGGACCTCCAGACTCATCGGTCAATCTGAGGGCTGCTTGCTGGGCCACGAGGACTTCCGAGTGGAGAGGAGCCGCAAGTAGGACCAGCTTTCTCTCCGGAGTCCACAGGGACTTCTCCCATCCAGATTTGGACTCAATTGGACCACCACGTGGTTCCAAGCTGGCCATCCAAAATGTCTGGCTCCTTCCAAAATGTGTTTCGGTGCTCAAGGGCTGCACAGAACCGGAGCAGAACCAGCATGGTAGGTCTGCCGGACCTGAACCGAGCTGCTGTTTCTGCAGAGCTGGTGAGTAAAATTTAGTAGCTACATATACAGTACTATAAGTATGTTGTTAAAATGATGTAGGTTTAAGAGTTTAGAACATTACGAGTGTGGGAAGGGTTTATAAAGCCTTATTATATATATATAATTACTAAAATAAATATAATGTTCCTACTTCGCAGATTTTCACTTAATGCTGCGGGGTCCAGAAATTAACCCCCGCAATAAACGAGGGACTGTATGTAAATTAAATAAATGAAAATTATGATGCAAAATGTGAAATAATTGGGTTAATGCAGTCTGAAATTAAAGACAATTAAAAAATTAATGTAAAAAAAATTATAAATGTAAGAATGCCTGAATGAAATATTTGATACTAATAACCGTCACCTGAACAGATGGGCGTACGGTGGTTACAGTTTCTGAAAGATTTTCAGTATTTTTCCTCTGGATTTCCCATTTTACAGGCAGCTTTCTGAAAGTACGGTAACTTTTACTTTACTTTCATTAAGTGTGTCTGAATTAGGCTCAAGAGTTAAAATACTGCAGAACCTGTAAATAGTTAAAGCACTGATAGAGTTCCTCTGGTTGTTTTTATGGAACGTATGCTGCTGAGCATGAAAGGATTTAAAAACCATGATAAAGGTGTGACACCCGTTAGTCTTACCTTTGTTGCCGACTGATCCTGTCTCATCGCCTTTTGCAAGACATGGAACTCGTAATCTGCTCGGTTGTGGTCCTGCAAGAGGAAACCAGGTTTGCTCGGTGGATTTAAACTTTTTTTTTTTTCCCCTTGTCCTGTTTGGCATTGTGACACTTAGAATTATTGTCTGAGTGTCAACGTGATGCCCAACAGATTTACTTTCACAAGCAGAGCATTATGGCTGGCCTTAATGCTCCACTTGATATATAAATTAAATTTTATTAGAATTTGCTTTGGGTTTGTTCCAGATGTAATGGACACGGGGACGAAAAACAAAGATGATAACAAAGCAGAAAAGTAAGAGTAGGGTTAAAATGTAAAGAAAGAGATAGGAATAGAGGAGATAGAGAGGGATAAAGAGAACACAAATCAACATCATTGAAGTCTGCCTCTAGACCTGCGAAAAGCAAAAAAACCCGACAAAACCAAGAAACCACAACAACAAACAGCATGTATAATGATACTTATAACATCATTAGAAAGTATTTTATACAGTACATGGTAATACAAGATATATTGGATGGCTACCACAACCCAACTGAGTGTGTATCTGATAAACACCTGAATCTAAACACCTGTGTGAGCATGCTTATCACTATAAGGTTTATCCATAAAAATGTTCAATAGTGGATGTGGGGACCCATAAACCCATGCCCACAGGACATGAAGGTAACACAGGGAAGACCGGAACCACAGACACACAGTGGCCCCCAAGCCCGGAACTCCGGGAGTGCCCCAACAGGGACACCCGCACCCCTCAGAGAGAGAAGAAAAGGGAAGCCCCAGGCAATCCCCAGCAACCACAATGCAGAAACCCCAGCAAGCTGTAGCGACGAGTCAACAGGCCCCGCCGGCAACCCGCCCCTCCAGAGTGGATCCGGCCATGGACACCAAGCCTCGAGTCCCGAGATCATACCACCCCCCAACAGAGGCCCGACAGAGCCAGGGCAACCAGGCCCCCACAGGCAGTCACCAGGGCGGGCCCGCACACATCCCACCACCCAGCCCCAGCTGCTGAGAGCCGCCAATGCACTGGCGGCAGGGGGGCCCACCACCGGAGGGGAGCACGACACACCAAATGGGGGGCCAAAACTGATCCAAGAGAGGGGACCACCTAAAATCCAACCTGAGACATAAACAGGCACACAGAGAAAGCCCGACAGAGCCTCTGTCGGGCCGTCCATGCACCCCGCCCGCCCGACAGCGACCGCAAGCCGGCCCCAGGCCGGGGACCAGAGCAGCAGGGAGCAGCAGCTGAGGACGGCCGGCCCAGCACACCAATGCATCCCTAAAGCCTCACACCATGGGCCCCAAGAAGCCGAGCATGCCACCCATGCCCCCCCCCCCCCCACACACACACACACAGCACCCCCCACCGCGAATGTCACATAAGGCCGACCAGCCAGCACCCCGTCGAAGTGAAGCCACGCCCCTGACCTCTACCACGCACTACCAATGACCACACACACACAACCACAGCCGACCCCCTGCCAGAACCCGGCAGCCACCCCAGCCAAAGGGCTGGCCATCAACCAGGAACCCCGATCAAAAGATCCAAACAATCCAGGGAGAACCGGAGCACCAGCAGCACCACCCCCAATCGCCCCCAAGGCCCAATACCCACCCACAGCCCCGACAGACACCCCCCCCCCCCCCGACCCCAAATGTCAGATGGAAAATGAGGGTTTAAGGAAAACTGGAAGACCCAACTTCTCCCTTCTCCCACTCAAATAAGATGTTGATGCATGTTTTATAGTGCGTTTAAAATGGGGGGGATGAGGCGGCGACTGGCACAGACCCACCTCCTCCCCAGAGAACAGGCAGTGCCTGTTCACCTCCCCAACCCTTGACCAGAACCCTAAATGTCTACATGCTACATATGAGAGTGGGCACAGGTCCCGGAGGTGAGAATGATTACACATCCTACCCCCTATATGCCACTGTGTGCCCACTCCAGACCCTATATATGCATGTGTCGTGAGAATGTTATATGCGAGTGTCTAGGTTGTTTGATAAAATTGAGGCCCAGGTCTCCACGAACCACGGAGATGGAGGATCCTCCCCGCAGCTCATTAGTGCATCTGAACCCCAAGGCCCTGCTTGAGTGGTGGGGTGATGGAGTAGGTGGAGGAAGATGTCGGGTTGAGGAGGAACAACTGAGGTGGCAATGCCCTCCCAGGGGGCCAGCTCCCCCACTGACCCCAATAGGCACCCCTATTCTCCGAGATCCACCAGGGGAGGGAGGCTCCAGTGCATCCATTTAGGAGCAGGAGGCAGCCGCACCACCAGGGACCCAGGCCACGGACCGGCGCATAGCCCCGAGGACCGACCAGAACCCGGGCCAAGCACCAGACTGCAGCCACAGCCAGGCAGGAAGACACCCAAGCTGAATCCACCCATCCCCCCTCCCCCATGGCAGAGGCCCCAAAGCCCACCAGCGCACCAAGGGCCCCCAGGCCAGGGCCAGGCGCCGGCGCATGCACCGGCCCAAGACCCCGACAACATACCTGCCAAGACCTGAGACCCCCGGATCAAGCCGGGACCCCAGCCCGGGAGCGACACTCCTCCAGAACCCTGAACCCGCGCCCACCCCAAACCCACCCAGGAGCAGCCAGGCCACCAGGCCGGTAACCTGCGCCCGCCGGCACAGACTGCCCAGAGGCCTGCATGCAGCCAGCAGAGGTCAACGCCCAGAACCACCAAAGCCACCTCCCCAGTTGAGCGCCATTGCCCCGGGCCCACGCCCCCCCCCCCCCCCCCCCCATGCCCCCAGCCCTGATACCCCCCACATCAACAACGATGCCCCACGGGACAAAATCAAAGGGGTTTACCCACCTCCCCTACGGGTTGGAGCCAATCAAAGAAGCCCAGAGAGATTGTTCTGATGTGGAGGTACAGGCTATCTCAAGACATGCAATCTAACAAAAGGTCTTTATACTGTTTAATACTAAGAGTATTTTTATTTTTCCATTTCATGAGTATAGTTTTTTTTTGCTATACATAAAGCAGTAAAAATCATGTGAATTGACTTTGTCTCCAAGGTGACATCATCTAAGTGGCCCAATAAGCAAACTGACGGAGAGAGTGGAATATAACATCTGACACTTTGATAAGTCTTCACATATCCAGCACCAAAACCTCTGAACAGGTGGACAGAACCAAAATGCGTGGATGTGATTGTCAGGAATATTGTCTGTACACTGTGAGATAACATTAGATGATGCGAAACCCATCCTGAACATCCGTTGACCTGTGTAGTGTACTCTATGAAGGATTTTGTATTGTATTAATTGTAAATTGGGGGTTTTAATCATCTTAAAAGTTCTTAGACATATCTGAGACCAGAAGCTTTGGTCAAAGTTGACTGACAAGTCTGTCTCCCATTTTACAATGGGAAGGGATATTGATCCATCTATTTTAACGAGTGTCCGGTAAATCTTAGATAGTAATTTGGGAGGGTTAAGATTTAGAAATTCTAATACACTTGTTGGTATTTCAATTCTAGTGTTATTAAGGTTAAATTTATTTTTTGTTATAGATTTAATTTGTTGATATTCTACAAATGTATTCTTATCAATCCCATATTGTGTTATTAATCTGTTAAATGGGATATAGTCTGCTTCCTCATATATATGTTCCAAATATTCTATTCCTTTACACCTCCAACCTGGGACATTTATCATATTATTCTGTTGTAGGATGTCAGGGTTGTTCCAAATGGGTGTACGTCTGCATGGAATTAGTGAAGACTGTCATTTTAAGAAACTCCCACCAAGCTGTCAGAACGGAGCTGATATTGATGCTTTTAAAGCATTCCTGTCATTTTATGTTTGAGCTAATGAATGGAAGGTCAGAGATCATTATATTATTGCAAAGTGTCTGTTCTACGTCTAGCCAGGGTTCATCAAGGGGTGTGTGTTTTATCCATCTTGAGATGTATTCTAACCTGTTGGCTAGAAAATAATAATATAAATTGGGTAGCTCTAGTCCTCTATCTTTGGTCTTCTGTAGTGTTTTTAGTTTATTACGTGGGGGTTTATCTTTCCAGAGA